CGAACAATAATTCGATTAGTTCACTGATATGCATATTCTTTGTTTATGCCTTTCAGGTCATATAAATAATCAGTACAATACCTGCTTCTGGATGTTGGTGAAGTCTGCAAAAAGTGAACAAGAGCTTCAGCTAGCTTTGAAGGTAGTACAAATTTTCTTGAGTTGGTGACCTTTCTATCACAATGGTATAAATGTTTTAGTTCAAGTTTTGTTTTTCTAGGGGACATTTGCAAAGGACAAGAATGAGCTGCTTGCTCAACAATTCCAAATAAACTATGATGATGAACCGGCTATGTTCCGCAAAGGATGTAGTGTTTACCGAGAGAAGGTGATGCTGCAAATGTTATCAGTCATGCAAGACAACATCTTTCTTATAATGTATTGCGTATAACTGTAGGTAGAAACAGCTGTGAAGATTGATGACTATGGGGAACCCATAAAAAGACCAAGATTGCAAGTTACAGCTGCGCATGTTGATATCATAGGGCCTGAGTTTTGGGAAAACCATCAACACATTCTTCGAGAAGGTCGGTTTGAATTATTCACCTGTCCTTTCTACTACAGATCAAGCTATGTGTGTGTATAGCATTAGCTTAATTGATTATTTGGGGAACAGGAAAAAATTTGCGTTGGTTTGTAAAGAAATCTAGCATCAAACACATCTTTTGTCCTTGTAATTGGATTGTTGTTCGCATCAATGCTTGCCAGTTTGATCAGTGAGGATCCTTCTTTTTATTTATCAAAAGCATGCAGGTTCTCTTTAGGATTAGCTTGATTGCCTTATTAACTGGGTAAGGTAAATGGCATTTCCTCACTTCTTCCAATTTCTAGTCTCTATGTGACTCTAGACAAAAAAAACATCAATACTCATGGTTGATGGTCGGTGTGAAAACTAAAGCTTTAGAATATTTCTCATGCAGTGTGAAGACCTGAAATAGTTTATTGCATTGCCTTCTTTGTATTTGCTAGGAAATGTGATCTACCACATCAAACATTTTATGTTTAGAATTCTGAATAGTTTTAACGTATTAAATCTAAAAAGAGCTCCAATCTTTAAGTTTTTGTGCATGACGTATCTACATTAGACTCATAATATTGTTTCCGTGCAAGTATTAAACATATTTTTTACCTGCACCTTAACCGGGTGATTTGCCGGCACGCGCGATGGCGCGCGTGATGGACTAGTATATATAATAATTAGAGTAAAGCATGCGCAGGGAGCTAGTATAGTTCAGTTCAGTTCTAGTGATTCTCTTCCCCCGCGCTCACCGCCCCACATAAACCTAATGCATGCAGAAATCATAAATATATATGGTGGAATAGCGGCAGAAATCTTGTAATCCAATTTTTTTCTTTTGGAAGGAAAAGGAAGGAACCAATGCAAGCACATGCCGGACCCACCATCAATATCCCTTTCCCATGCACCTTCCCTGGCCCTTTTAAACCCCCTCCGCGTGCGCCTTCCTCTTTCATTCCATTCCCTCCCTCCCATCTCCCGAATCGCGCTCCCAATTGTCGCCGCCTCCGCAGCCACGCCGTCCGCTGTTTCGCCAGAGATGAGGTCCGCCGTGGCGGCTTCCACGAAGCAGGGGCGCAGACAATTACCGAAGTGTAGGAGACCGTGACGCCTAAGAGGGGTTGAATTAGGCAACTTAAAATTCTACTTCTAAACTATGGCCTCTTTTTCTAACCTTAGCAAAACCTATGCAAAAGATAAACTATCTAAATGTGCTACTACGGTTTTGCTAGTGTGTTGCTATCTCTACCGCAAAAGGAGTAATACAATCAATGTAAATACGGAAGCTAAAGAGCAAGGTAGAGATATGCAAACTTCCGTCGACGACTGCGGTATTTTTACCGAGGTATCGAGAAGCATGCAAGCTTCCCCTAGTCCTCGTTGGAGCCCCTCGCAAGGGCCAAGCTACTGGTCGGGTAACTCCGTGGATAGCCTCGGACCTTCTCCACGCGCAAGTGGGTCTCCAATGTGCCTTCCGGCAAGCCTCTTCCGGATGCTCCCCACCGTCTTCACTATCAAGCTTCTAGCCGAAACTCCGCTGGCCTAGTTCTCTCTGGTACACGGTGACGGTCACACCACAACCGTGGTTGGTGTGATCTCGCAAGATTATAAGCCCCTCCGATATACAACAACGGTGCACGCAAGCACCGAGTGTTAAGACGTATGCAAACCTCACTAAAAACTAGGCCTAAACATAGAGCAAGCGCATAAGCGGTGGTCTAATCAACCTAAGCACTTCGCAAAGCACTTACGCTAATCACCTAATGAATTACTAAACACTATGCAAGTGGAGATCACTAAAATGGTGTATCAACACCATTGATATGTTTCCTCAGCTCCACTCTCATCAAATAGCCGGTTGGGGTGTATTTATAAGCCCCTCTGAGAAAGTAGCCGTTGGGGACGAAATTTTGCTTTTCTGCTACTAATCAGATGCTGATCACGTCCTGACCGGACGTGTTCGGTCATCCCGACCATTGGAGCAGCGATTAACTGATCGGACGCTACGCCGTCGGTCACATCACCACCGCCACGCGTCGTCTCGTCGCAATTCGCCGCTCTGGAACCTTTCACGTACTCGATCGGATCTCGCGATTCTCTGCCGATTCGATTTGCCGCCAGCGTCCGGTCTAGCGTCGATCGCGCCTGTTGCCGAGCCTCTTGATCGGAGCGTCCGGTCACTTTCCTCTAACGTCCGGTCCAGCATCCGGTCACCTCTATGAGCTTATTTCTTTGCGATCTTGCGTACGGCTTGGTTCCTATCTTCGTGCTTAGACTTTGCTTGATATCTTGGGTCTTCTCTTGTACTCCTAGGGTCTTGCTTATGTTGTTAATCATTAGATCATCACGTCGCCTTCGTCCAAGTCACGTCTCGCATCATATTGAACTACAAAACAATCACTTGCAACTTCATTAGTCCAATTTGGTTGTGTTGATCATAAAACACTAAAATCCAAAGTAAATGGGCCAAGGGTCCATTTTCCTTACACGAAGTATTCGGTGGGCAGTGGTGGCGTCAGCCTGGACCGGCACTCGGCGGAGAAGAGCATGTGGTTGCGCAGGGCGCCCGTGACACCAAGGGCGTGACTGGTTGCCCGAACCAAGCCATCATATGACCTATCCTGCACACTTGGAGCATTTCGCCTATGTTTGGTTATCCTACTCGCACTTTTCTCCTGCTTCCTTTCGTGCAGATGCCCTCCTCTATACCAGACGGCGCCATCTTCTTGATCCCCACTTCTCTCTCGGTGCAGGCTAGGATGAGACTGGATAGGGCCACCATCCCGGACCGCCGACCTCGGAGCTACCAATCAGGCCGCAACAGAACCGGACTTGAGGAGGCACACCCACGCTAAGGCTGACGCAGTGCCAGCCCTACAAGGGTGCATGGGTGCGATGGCCTAGGGCCCACGGGAGGGGAGGGCCCAGCCCAGGACCCCACGTATACAGGCCCTCAGTACTGCAGGCCCTTTAGCCTTTAGGTATACTACGCGTAGCGTCTCTGCTGACGCCGCCTGCCGCGCCCAGACCCCCCTCAAGCGGCCAAACCCACGCCACGAAGGGGGTGAATGCGAATCGTCGTCCGTGATCCATCTCACCGACACCGCACGTGCGGCATAGGCACTGTAGCTCCCGTCCAGCTGTCCGGTACAATGCCGTCGGGTAGGCCGTAGGCGGGTATGGGACGCAGACAACGGCAAGGCGACGATCTAGGTATTTTTTCCTTGATTGTTTTTAATCTAAATTAATTACTTCGGACTTCTAGTACTCGATACTCATATAGTCGTGTTTTTCTTCTAATTTAGGTGTTAAAAACTTAGAATGTTACCTAAGAAACATTTGTCAGGGTCTCAGAAAAGAAAACGGAAAAGAGTAGAAGATCAATTTATTGAATCTCAAAAAAGTGCTATACATAAGTTTTTTTCAGCTTTCAAGCAGTGTTGTGCCTGATGATAATCCTGTAGATGCACTTAATATTGAAGAACAAGGACAGCAACAGCAACAAGTTAACGATAATTTAAGTGAACAAGTTGATGACATTGATGATGCTACAGAGAATGAAAATTTACAGCCTTCCTTTCAACCTAAAATTCAATTGATGATGTGCAAAAAGCATCTATTCATAATGTCTTTGATCCTAGAACTTGGAGAAATCTTGATAATAAGGGTAGAGATATAGGGCCTGTTCGCTTGGAGGAATTTGGATGGTTTAGAGGAATGCTGGAGGAATTTATGAGAGAAAAATATTGTTCCGGATAAAAAAAAGCGGATCAAGCTGGGTTTAAGGGCACGCTAACGGGGCCATATTGATTGAAAAGGGCGGTGAGATAATTGAATCTTGAGTTCCCTGCAGATGCTATTAATAGACATGTCAGCGCTTGGGATTCTGGAGTTTGTTATAGCTGTAGATTGCTATCCAAATGTTTCAGTTGCCTATCGAATCATCTTAACTGTACCTGTGACTGTAGCTTCAGCTGAAAAAAGTTTCTCAAAATTGAAGTTGTTGAAGAACTATTTAAGATCAACTATGTCACAAGATAGATTAAATGGATTGGCTATGTGCACCATCGAGAGGGATATCTTGGACACTATTGATCTCAATACCGTCTTTAATGATTTTGTATCAAAAAAACGCTCGAAGAACCATCTTTTTATGACAAACAATGGATATTATGGAGTTCTATTTTTCTTACGGTAATCATATTAGTTTTAGTCTATATTGTTCCTCGATAATTATTAAATATATTAAATTAAAAATATATCACTAGATTTGTTTTTGCTTTAAAAAAAATTAATATTTATATATTATAAGATTTATATATAGTCTAAACGGGCCGCGACGAGTTCGGTGAAGGGCCCTCGACGTCTTAGGAGCGGCACAGGGCCGACGCCGCCACGAAAGACGACGCCTTTGCGTCTGCCTTCGCCGCCGCGCCCTCCTTGATCCGGTCGATCTGCTCGCGCGGCAGCAGGAACGACGCCATCACCATCGGCGTCTTCTGCTCCTGCTGCGGCGGCGGAGGTGTCGGGGGAACGGAGGAGGGGGAGGGGCGAGGGCATTGGTACCATGGGTGTACGAGCAGAGGAAGGGCGGGTGGGGCTTGATTGTGCCGGCGAGCGGGTAGAAGCGGCGGAGCGCGAGGGAGAGCGAGGAGCGGAGGAGCGGGAGCGTGGAGGCCGGCTCCGGGTGGCGGAAGAAGAAGAGGCGCTCGACGGGGCCGGTGAAGAGCCAAGCAACGTCGAAGAAGGTGAGAGGGGGCGCAGGCTCTTCTTGCTCAGAACCAGATGGCTGCGGCTCGACGCGGATGCGTTCGAGCACGCGCACTCGCGGCTGGGGAGACGGAGGCGCCATCTGATCTGATCTGGTGCTCTGCTCTCTATCCTCCGCTATCCGCTCTGCTCTGCTCCGGCCCCCTCCGTGGCGTTTCTGAGGCTGAGAAATAGTGAACAGGGAAGGCGAGTCAGCTGTAGCAGGAGAATCACAGGCAGAGGAGACAGGAGAGGAACGCCCCAGCTGTAGCTGTTGTAGACTTGTACGACTTTAGTGGCCTGCCCACTTGATTGTTGCTTTGGGCCTTTGGCTAGCCAGGCATGTACCTAACTCACTAATAATAACGTGGAGGCTAATCTAATTATTATTTGATTATTTGATATACTGGATACTGGACTATCAGTGTTTTGCATGGTCCAAGCAATGGTTCACGCTAATTTTATTTATTCATTCCATTGTTCAGTTCAACTGTAATATAATTGTTTTGTTTGGAAGGAAGGGACTTGCTAAAATTAAGGCACCTGAATTTTAGTTTATTCAGGCAACAATTATTGCATATATTTTATATTAAAATTATAGTTTTAGTTTGTTGCAATTTTTGTAGACATATTCTGCAATTTTTAGTTTCGAGAATAAAAAAAACTGTTAGACAAAACCACAAACCCAACAAAGTCTTATTTGGATTGGCACAAACAATTTACAATTGTTTTTATAGTCAGACAAGGATAAAATATTGATATGTTACGACACAAAGACGAATAACAAATCACAGAAGTAATAATTTACTTGTACTAATTGATGCTACAAGAGTGTTGCATAAAATAATCTTAAAATTTAGGCACCTGAAATATAGAATAAGTATGGAAATAAAGGCACAATCACAGCATTATGTAATTTGATCCCCAACCTTCTCATCACTATGGCTATAATAATGGACAAAAAAAGATACACATGAGAGCCAATGACCCTTGAAAAGTGGTAATTTGCTGAAGACACCTCACATTATATTACCTTATTAATAATCATTTGCAATATTTAGGAGATAGAAACATGTATAAAGGTTGAAAATGATTTGAATCATACTTGTAAGATGTTTTTTTCTTTACTTAGGAGGGTGGACATTCGATTTTCGGTTCATTCCTTTATTCTTGAAGAAATTTGGTTTCTAAAAAATGTAAAACGATCGTTTCTCAAAAAATTATGAGAAATGGGTATTTCAGTTTTCGGTTATTTCGGTTCAGTTTTAGTTTTAACCAAACCTTTTTTATCAGAGATTAAGAAAACAAAAAAGAATGCATTTTCTAAAGCAATTTAGGCAACACTTCCTGTATTTAGATAATAATAATAATTTAGATAATAATTGATCATGGAACAATAGCAATATAGTAACACAAATACTTCATCCGTCTCAAAACAAGTGTCATTCTCATTTTTCAAGAAGTCAAATATTTTTAGTTTTGACCAAATATATATAAGAAAATAAAATATTTATGGTGCATAATTAGTATCATTAAATGAATCATTGAATATATTTTCATAATAAACTTATTTAGAGATATAAATGTTGCTAATATTTTCTACAAACCTAATTAAAGTTGAGAAATTTTGACCACCGTGCATCTCATAGTGACACTTATTTTGGAACGGAAAGAGTAGATAACAGTTTAAATATGACACATCACACATAAACCAAACATACTCTTACAAAATGCAAATGAAGTACAATTCATATATTTAGGTCTTTCGGTTAATTCGGATAACTGAGAGTAGAAAGCGAACTTAGTTCAGTTATTTTGATTTTGGTTTTTCGTTTTCGATTAATTATGTCCAACCCTACCTAAGGTATTCACCTCTATGTAGCATTGTGCTGCATGGGTGCATGGCCATGAGACCCAACTTAAAGGAGATGTATCAATGCCCCTATCTATACGCCACAACCATTGACACAAGTTCTCAATAGACCACTAGCAACGCCCATGCAGGCATCATGCACCCTTCCTCATTGCCTCTATGAGTAGGCGTGCGACTCCTTTCCTCCTTCCCCTGTTTGATACCTTTCTTTGTTGATGCCACCATCTCCCTTACCTGCTTCCATCACTACACATGCATGCTGATTAGAGCAGGGCCACTGAATGCATCTAGCTAGGCTCCAATTTGATGATTCAGAGTTTTTGTGATTGATGAACATAAGTGTTGTGACTGACATATGTTTTACAATAGTACTCAATTTCAGATAGTCACAACTGGTTTGGCCACAAGTGTCTTGGCCCCAAAAGATTTGGTTTGGTACTTAGAGCATGACGCAAAGGATATTCATGAAGACTAAGGATACTATAGAGTAAATGTAGGATTGGTGCCTAGAAGCATTCATTATAGTGTGTATTAAAGCTACTTTTTTAGTTCCCATCCCCTAGTTTTTTTCATAGAATCATCAATTCATCATACAATCACTTCTCAATAAAAAAAACTGTTTGACTGAGTCTGGATTCAACTTGAAGCAGCTCAGGAAGCTCTACTAAATAGATCCTTCAAGAGCACATCATCGTTCAATATTTTAGTTTTCATGATCCCAAGTCTCCAAAATCTTCAGGTCAGTAAATATTTTGAAACTTGATCATGTGAAATTCAAATCATTAAAACTGCTTAATCTTAAAATAGCAAGAAGATCCGAAAAATTTAGATACGATGGAGTCCATTTTCTGGTGCGTACCTTAGAATTGCAAGATATGACGAAGCTTGAGTTGGTTAGAATCCTTCCCTTCTAGTCTCAAAATGTTAGATTCCTTCCCTTCTAGGTTTGGAGCCTTTTCCTCATCTTCTTCCCAGTTAGGTAAAAAGCTTTCATACCAACAGATCTATCACTGATGAGTAGACCTAGGTAGTGCATATAAAGGAACTTTCCCTATTTTAGGGTTCAATGGATCTATCGATTTTTGAAATTAATTTTTTTCTCGGAATGTTATATTTGAGTTTCCAGTTAAGTTGTTTGATCTAAAATGGTTTCTAAATTTTTTGAAAAAGCATCTACCATCATGGTTCAAAATTAGTATCTTGTGATGCAATTCTGTAGCACACGTGCTTTGTTATGGAATTTTGTCATTTAATTTAGCATCTATCGTCTAATTTTGAGTGTTTACATTGTTAAGGAATTTTGGATTTCACTTGAGCATGCATATATACAGGAAAATTATAAGAAAAAACATTAATTTTCAGACCATAGATTTGGATTTTTTTTTGGATTTTAGGAAACAATTTAGAGCTAAATACCTCAAACTCAAATACAATATTCTAGAAAAGTACAATTTCAATGCTACAAATGTTATGATGCAAAATCTCAGCAAACTGGATCATGATTTCAAGCATCTATTTAGAAAGTTACATGATAATTGGAGGTCCCTAGGTCTTTTACTTTGAATCTATAAGAGAAGCTAGAAATAAAGGGATCCGGCTCGAAATCCCAATCAGCTGTCTATCCACATCCTAGTGCATATTTGGTGGAGCTTCTCCAAAGTCGTCTCATCATGTTCCCAACCAAACAGCGGCAAATCCGTCAACACCACATGTGAAGTTCCTCAAAACACGCTCTCACAATGGGTGAGCAGATGATGGACCTAAAAAAGCAGCTTCCACCAACTTTTGGCAAGGCGTGTGTGGGCTCACGGCTAACTGCATGTGGATACCCTTTGGCGCAGGTCCATGGCTTCTTCTTCCTTGTCATTGGTGTGGACGGGTGGTAATGGCGACGAAAGTGGATGTGGGGGGTGGGAGGTGGATGTCATTGTATCTGGTCGCAGAAGCACTACAGGGCCCCGTCGACCTTCACCGGACGCCTAGCGAGTCCACCCAACAAAGTCACTTCCCAAGCACCGCTCAAATGTGGTAGAGGACACAAGAGCGCAGTAGCAACGCCCATGTTTGAGGAGATGGCCCCGTCGAATACCCATCATCGAGCGACCACGACGCGCGGACTCGTATGAGTTGACCTTGCTGCCAAATCCACCTAGCGTGAGCACGTCGATATCAGGAAGGAGTGCAAGGGAATCGAGATCTGGAAGGAGGTCGACGATGCCCAACACTGGCAGCATGTTGTGGAGGGAGGTTGGAGAAGAGGAGGCATGTGGTGCGGTGGAAGTTGAAGTTGAGGTAATGTGTGGTGGAGACGTAGGAGAACACATAAAAAAGAAAAGAGAAAAGAAAAAAAGAAAAAAAAAGAAAAGTAAAAAAGATGGAGAGAGAAGAGGAACAAAGAAAAAAGAAAAGAAAGGAAAGATAAGGGTAACATTGACTTTCACCCATTTCAATAAGGGCCTGTTTAGATTCTAAAAAATTTTGCGCAGTATCCATCACATCGAATCTTGCGACACATGCATGGAGTACTAAATGTAGACGAAAAAAAAACTAATTGCACAGTTAGGTGAGAAATCGCGAGACGAAACTTTCGAACCTAATTAGTTCATAATTAGACACTAATTGTCAAATAAAAACAAACGGGCTACAGTACCCAAAATCAATTTTTTGGCATCTAAACACGCGGCCTAAGTAGGAAAGACTATTTTCAGTACAAAATGTTGTTCTAACCAGCGAACCTGAAGCTAAAAGTTGTTTCATCAGAACATATGCAACTGTCTTGGCTAGGGCTAGAGCTTTACCAAATAAATCCTTTGAAGTTTTACTATTCATGAAAGTATGACGCAAATCTATAATTATTCAATAGTTTCTAAAAACTTAATTCCCCCCCCCCGACCTCAGTTTATGTCGGAACATAGAAGATAGTCGAGTCGTGTCGAGAACCCTCGTCTCCTCCCTTCTCCCTTCTCCCGCTCACCGCCCCCGACTTGTGCCGCCGCCCATGGCGAGACGCCTTCTCTCCCGCCCCGCCTCGTTAAGCTCGACCGCCCCATCCTACCTCCCGCGCTCACCCGCCTACTTTCCCGTGGCCCGCCCACTCCGACGACTAGCGAACCGGAGGACAAAGGCAAAAAAGCGGCGGCGGCGGCGGCTGTCCTGGTGGAGGCGGCCGCCACGAACCGCAGGGAGGACGCGGAGGTCGGGAGGGATGGGTCGGAGGAGGACGACGAGGACGCCGGCCTCCCGTGGAGGAGCTGGAGGCCGGACGTCGCGTGGCTCTCCAAGGCCCTCGAGCCCGCACTGGACCTCTACAAGCAATACAGCTGGAAGCCTTTCGCGTGTTCGTCTCTTCCACTTCAGTTGCTGTTCTATTTTAATATTCTATCATTACACCTATCTTGACTCATCATTGTGATCCTTCCATCTGACGCATTCTTTTTTTTTACGAATTGCCACATTGGTAATATGAATTATATTATGAGGAACTCCTGCATAGAATGAATCGTTGTAAAATGGCAAATAGGGATTTTGACAATTTGCAGCCATAACTGAGAAATCAAGATGCTTTTTCAGTGCTGCTTTGGTTCAATAAGCATTAGATCCGAGGACGACCTCAAGGATACCATTTTGTTGTTTATTTCCTTTGCTACACAATTAAAATGCTGCACATCCAGATATGCTACACAATTAGGAAGTGGTTAAAATTGTACTATCTGAATGCAGCTTCTGGTCGTGCGGAGAACATCCCTGCAAGCACTCGGACATTTAGTGAGATCCTAAGTGACCTCCAGCGAAGTAAGATAAGCATAAAGGACTGGAGCCTCAGTGATCTCACCATTGGCCTCTACCTCATTTACCTCAGCCAAGCATCCTCAAAAAACGAAGCTTTCAAGGGCGTTCAGATATCCTCCAATAAGATGGTATGTCCTGCAGGCTTGTATTCACACTGAAGTTTTTAAACTGTGTGCGTTTTTGGTAGTAACAAACAAGGATTACATGGGTACACATCAGGGGCGGATATCCAACTACGGCCACTAGGTCGTGGACCAAAATGTCTGAGTACTCATCTTCAATTTTTGGCCTATCTAGCGTCACCATGGACTGCCTCGATCATCCTCTCTCATCTCTTGCTTCAGGTGCTCGCCTGTAGTGTGTTGCTCCTTCCTGGTTCCCTCACGTTCCCAATCCCAGCTCGTAGATCCTGTCCTTCCATTGTGGGGCACCGTGGCCGGCTCTGCTGTTGTTTCCCAGCTGAGCGCGCCCTTCTTTGTGGCTGTTCCAGTGGTCAACAAAGGCACAATTCTTCAGCTGCTGGCCTGTGCCCGTGCGACTCTTTCCGTTGTCGTGCGCTCATGCATCCCCCGCTGCAGCTCGTGGCTGGCCCTTGCTCGAATGACATCCTAGTCCTATGGGAACCCAACGTGCATGGTTAGCACTTCCCATCTCCTCTCATTTCTCTGCGAAGCAAGAAACTGAGCTAGGTCTAAAAGCACATGCAGCTACTGAATTGATTTTGTGAATGGCATTGCAATCTGAAATTAGCTCCTAGCTTTAAAAGGACTACAAATGAAGATGCATAGGAATTGGCGTTAGGTCCATGCCAACGAAAATTGATTTGCCTTGTTATCTACTCCCTCTGTTTAGGTGCATAAAACTATGCAAAAAGTAGATAAAACTATGATAGTTTTACCTGGTAGACATAACTACTCTGAGACATAATATATATTTAGGTGCATAGATTAGATAAAACTATGCAAAGTTTCAAAACGACTTATAATTTGGAACGGATGGAGTAGTAAACATTGAGTTTAGGTATCATATTGTCCGTGAATTTTTTATCTTTGCTGCTTCTTGTTGTGTGACCTGGTGTATGAAATTTTTAAGCTTTGTTCTTTGCCCTAGTCTTAGAAAAAACCTGGGTCCGCCACTGGTATGTATGATATGATACCTATAGCACCATTCCAAAAGAAGAATACAAATGTTTTTTTGTAACTTTGGTTATGATGATTGAGCATTTAGAGTGTCAACCTCTTTAGACTGTTATGCTTCTCAAAGTAACGTGCACCAGTATGCACTTGCAACAGGGATTTATCTCTAATCCTTTTCCAGGTTCAAGAACTAATTTATCACCTTGAACTTGCAAGAGGTTGTTATAAAGGTAATGCAACTGGACTTGCAAGGTATAGCATGCTTCGGAAGAGAAATGTTGTAAAGTTTGTGAAAGACTCTAGTATTTTGAGACCTGGATATTACATTGGCATTGACCCGCGAGCTAAATTGGTGATTCTTGGGATTCGCGGGACTCATACAGTCTATGATCTTGTTACTGATTTGATTGCTCTAAGCGATAAGAAAGTATCACCTAAAGGTTTCTCAACACACTTTGGAACATATGAGGCAGCTCGTTGGTACCTTCGCCATGAGCTGGGAATAATCAGAAAATGTTTGGAAAAACACAAGGTGAGGAGGTATACTTATTTGTGTTCAATTGAATCTGTCATCTTCTCCATCTTTTGCTCATTTTCTTAAGTTTGAAGCAGGACTACAAGTTACGGTTGGTAGGTCACTCCCTTGGAGGAGCATCGGCGGCGTTGCTTGCTATAATGCTACGGAAGAAGTCAAAGGAAGAGCTTGGTTTCAGTCCGGACATTATCTCTGCTGTTGGATTTGGAACACCACCTTGCATATCAAAGGAAGCTGCTGAAAGTTGTGCGAGCTATGTCTCTACTGTTGTGCTCCAGGTTATGCTTAATCTTTTTGTTGGATTCAGAATCCGGTTCCTGTCGTCTTCCTTTGTTGAGTTGTCTGTCATTTGTAATTGGGTTGTTTCTTTACTTGATGCAGGATGATATTATACCTAGGCTCAGTGCAGCTTCTTTGGCAAGACTACGAAATGAAATACTCAAAGCAGATTGGTAGGTATTGAGTTTTGGACTGGCAGTAAATGACAAGAACTTGTGTTCAGGTAGCTTTCATAGGAGAAAGAAAACTGATAATTTGCCTTTTATATGTTGCTTTTGGACACCATCCTAGCGCATGGACTATTTATGTGCATGCTAAATGTTAGAACACTTGGTTAACAGATGGCCCTTTATAGATGATGCCTGTACCATGTGGCCTTGCAGGGTAGGTGTTCTGGAAAAGGAAGACTTGAAGCATATAGTGGATATCGTGACAAACGCTAAGCTTGTTGTTTCGTCAATTCAAGATGTGGCGCGTAAACTTGGTGATTATGCTAAAATTGTACCAGTGTCGACAAATTCTGGTAAGTTTGATTGATTTGGGAATGTGCATGTCGGAAGTAAATGTGTTATGGTTTTATTTGATCTATGTGCTAGTTGTGACCTAGCTTTACCTTGACAGGTGTTACCAAAGATCCAGCTAACTCGACGGAGATGCTGTCATCGAATAGTAGAAATGATGTGTTTGTGCCTGAGGATCTCTTCCTTCCTGGGACTCTGTATTACCTGCAGAGGGATATTGAGGATATAAACGGCGTTGAAGATGAGTCATACACACTCTGGGAAGGTGATCCAGGGGAAAATTTTCAGAGGATATTGCTGTCTGGTAATTTGATATCAGATCACAGATGCGAAAGCATATATTATGCTCTGAGAGATGTGCTCAAGACACTGCCCCCACCCCAGGCCCAGGATGAATGATCTTATTTTCTGTTCCCTCCTGAGCTTTACTCTGTAGCGGCTGGATGCTTGGATTCTGTAGTTTTCTCTTTTCTGATGTGCACACTAACTGGCGGTTCCTTTGATCTTTTTGTAGTACTCAGACTGACTTGCCTGTCTTGGCTTTGTGTATGTTGTACAGTTTAAGCTGCTGGGCTAAGAAAGTAAGATAAAAATCCTTCAACCATCCAAACGCTGCTAGGATTTGATTTGTGTGTGTGGTGGGTGTGGGTGTGTGTGTGTGTGTGTGTGGGGGGGGGGGGGGGGGTTCTGACACATTCAATTCGATTGCTTACAACCTGTAGTTCAAATGTAAGTATATTTTAAAAGAAGGTTTCCCCTGCATTTATATTTCAAAAGGCACACCAGTTTAAGCTCCACATTTTGATGCGCCTGCCATACAAGCAAAGCCTTAAGGCAACTCCAAAGACATACTCAGTACATTACAATCAAGGGCCATCAGAGATCATGCCGAACCAAAGTCACAACGTTGGAGTCCAAATGTCGAGCAGCCACTGGAGCCAACCTTGATGTACTTCTCGGACTGTTCCACGCTATCTGCGGTGGCGATGTAGCTTGAATTTATAGCTGAGTGGCGAACTCCTAGATTTGCTTTCCCATCTCTTGTTGGAGCATGGCCACGATCCGCGGCAACACTGCTTTCAGACATGTCCATTTAGCACCCTGAAAACAAACATTATTTCCTAATTTACATAAGGGCCATAGCACAGCTGAAGAAATAGTATTAGTCACCCTGTGTTTTTTATTGGCTACCCAAGACGAACAACTGATTCAAAATCATCACCCATAAATTTGACCATGACATGTGGGTATCAACGCGTGTTTAGTTGCTATCCCAAAATCCAAAAAAGTGCTACAGTATCTATCACATCGAATCTTGCGATACGTGCATGAAGCATTAAATGTAGACGAAAAAAAACTAATTGCACAGTTTGGTTGGAAATTGCGAGACGAACGTTTTGAACCTAATTAGTCCATGATTGAACGCTATTTGCCAAATAAAAACGAACGTGCTACAGTAGCCTAAATTCCCAAATTTAGAGAACTAAACACGCTCTCACGTGTAAGAATGGATTTAAGGATGAGTTGTGAGTAATCTGTTGCAGCATGTGACTCCTATATAGTAAATTTGCTTTTGAAAGACCTCTTATAGCTAATTATAAGGGAGAGAAATAGAATATCTTGTGGAGTTGCTCTTGGTATCCTCGTCTACAAAAGAAAAAACTATGAGAATTGTGTAAATCACATTAGCTTACTTTGATCGAATTTATAGAGAATATAATTAACTTTTATGTCACCAACTATATTTATTATGAAAAAAATATTTCATAGTACTTCTCTTTTATCATAATTTTAGTAATTATTTATATAAGTTTAGTTAAATTTTAAATTATTTGACTTCTCAAAAAATAAATATTATTATATTATATCTTTTCGTGGTCGGAGATAGTACTTTGTCCTTAAAAAAGAATGCACTTCTAAAATAGTGCTACGTTAAAGTATACCAAGTTTAACAAAATTTATATAAATTTTATTAATTTATTAATATTCATCCTACTGAATTGGTACCATTAATTCATCACGAAATAACTGTTTCTAGAACTGTATTTTTCTTTTGGAAAGACGTAGTATTTTTTGTCAAGAAAGAAAAAATAACTGTTTTACCCCACACGCAGAGTTGCTTTGAGGAATTAATTTTGTAGCAACAGTAGTTCCCACTTGCCACCAACTATTCATAAGGGGGGCAGGGGCCGGGGGCGGTTCTGACACATTCAATTCGATTGCTTACAACCTGTAGTTCAAATGTAAGTATATTTTAAAAGAAGGGTTTCCCCTGCATTTATATTTCAAAAGGCACACCAGTTTAAGCTCCACATTTTGATGCGCCTGCCATACAAGCAAAGCCTTAAGGCAACTCCAAAGACATACTCAGTACATTACAATCAAGGGCCATCAGAGATCATGCCGAACCAAAGTCACAACGTTGGAGTCCAAATGTCGAGCAGCCACTGGAGCCAACCTTGATGTACTTCTCGGACTGTTCCACGCTATCTGCGGTGGCGATGTAGCTTGAATTTATAGCTAAGTGGCGAACTCCTAGATTTGCTTTCCCATCTCTTGTTGGAGCATGGCCACGATCCGCGGCAACACTGCTTTCAGACATGTCCATTTAGCACCCTGAAAACAAACATTATTTCCTAATTTACATAAGGGCCATAGCACAGCTGAAGAAATAGTATTAGTCACCCTGTGTTTTTTATTGGCTACCCAAGACGAACAACTGATTCAAAATCATCACCCATAAATTTGACCATGACATGTGGGTATCAGCGCGTGTTTAGTTGCTATCCCAAAATCCAAAAAAGTGCTACAGTACCTATCACATCGAATCTTACGATACGTGCATGAAGCATTAAATGTAGACGAAAAAAAACTAATTGCACAGTTTGGTTGGAAATTGCGAGACGAACGTTTTGAACCTAATTAGTCAATGATTGAACGCTATTTGCCAAATAAAAACGAACGTGCTACAGTAGCCTAAATTCCCAAATTTAGAGAACTAAACACGCTCTCACGTGTAAGAATGGATTTAAGGATGAGTTGTGAGTAATCTGTTGCAGCATGTGACTCCTATATAGTAAATTTGCTTTTGAAAGACCTCTTATAGCTAATTATAAGGGAGAGAAATAGAATATCTTGTGGAGTTGCTCTTGGTATCCTCGTCTACAAAAGAAAAAACTATGAGAATTGTGTAAATCACATTAGCTTACTTTGATCGAATTTATAGAGAATATAATTAACTTTTATGTCACCAACTATATTTATTATGAAAAAAATATTTCATAGTACTTCTCTTTTATCATAATTTTAGTAATTATTTATATAAGTTTAGTTAAATTTTAAATTATTTGACTTCTCAAAAAATAAGTATTATTATATTATATCTTTTCGTGGTCGGAGATAGTACTTTGTCCTTAAAAAAGAATGCACTTCTAAAATAGTGCTACGTTAAAGTATACCAAGTTTAACAAAATTTATATAAATTTTATTAATTTATTAATATTCATCCTACTGAATTGGTACCATTAATTCATCACGAAATAACTGTTTCTAGAACTGTATTTTTCTTTTGGAAAGACGTAGTATTTTTTGTCAAGAAAGAAAAAATAACTGTTTTACCCCACACGCAGAGTTGCTTTGAGGAATTAATTTTGTAGCAACAGTAGTTCCCACTTGCCACCAACTATTCATAAATAAATAAATAAATAAATAAATAAACGCTCTCCAGCGGCCGCAATTCCTCTTCCCCAAATGTGAATACAGTACGCCCTCGTTGCTTCTCACACACACCAGCATCAGTCCTCCTCCTTCACCGGCCACTGTCCATGGCGGCGCCATCCCTTCCCGGTTTCCCCCACCGTCTCCGGCGGCCGGTAAGCTCCCCAAACCCTACGCGCGCTGCATTCCTCTCTGGCGCGGCAGATCCGCTCACCTCCGGCTCCTCCCTTTTCTCAGCGAAGCGACATGGATTGCCCCAAGACCGAGAGTGGCGAGGTCGCGGTGGCCTGCCCGCCCGACGACTCCCTTGTGGAGATCTTCTCGCGCCTCCCTGCCAAGCCTCTCTTCCGATGCAAGTGCGTCTCCAAAAATTGGTGCGGCCTCATCGCCGACCGCCTCCGCTGCCGGAAGTTCCCCCAAACCCTAGAAGGCTTTTTCGCCGGCGACGGAGTTGAGAGCTACGGTGGTTTCATCTGCCCGGAGAGGCCGGTGCCTCTCGTCGACCCTTCCTTCTCCTTCCTGACGAAGTTGCCAGAGATTAAGAAGATCGTCCTTTTGGATTCCTGCAACGGGCTCGTCCTCTTTGGGCACAGACGGGTTTCAGAAAAGTATGATTACTCGCTGGGCTATATTGTGTGCAACCCCGCCACCGAGGAGTGGGTGTCTGTGCCCAACTCCGGCTGGACTCCATGTCCATTGATTAACAGTGATGATAAACTGAACCAAGATTGTGATCCGGACACCTATTTGATTTTTGACCCGGCTATCTCTCCACACTTTCAGTTGATCCAGTTTCAGTTTAGGTTTGGAGTTAAGTCTTACCTGCCAGAGGTGCACAGCTTCTCTTCTGTAGCTGGGGCATGGAGGCTCGAACTCAAACTCAAAGGTGTACCGGGCCTGCCACCTGGCATGAAGGTGGACACAGGGGCAGCGTGCCCCTTTAAAGGCATGGTGCACGTGCGTGCCCAGCATCCCTACCTCCCTTCTGAAAACCTGAATATGATACTTGCAGTTGGTGGGGAAGGGAGGCCATTTAGGACCCTGCACTGGCCACAAAATGATCGCGGTGTTCTTGTTTTTATTGGTCAATCCCAAGGGCACCTACATTGCCTGAGTGGATGTACGGGAAACAGTTCCCAGATGACTGAACTGTCCATTTGGGTTCTTGAGGACTACAATGCAGACAAATGGGTTCTGAGGGACAATGTGAGCTTCTCCCAGCTGTTTGGAAGAATGAGCGGCCGTTTCCACTTGGACTGGGATGTGGTTGCCATTCATCCAGATCGTAGTTTGGTCATCTTTGCTGAGTATTGGAATTGTAAGCTGATATCATATGACATGGATAAGGAAGTGCATGCTCTCTGCAGTCTACATGGCTATCATCGGCATATTATCCCATATGTTCCTTATTTTGCAGAGTCAGCGGCGCTCGCTAAGAAGCACTGAAATTGTTGCTTATGGGATACTCCATGGGATGTCTTAACAGGAATTTAATCTTCGAAGAATGGAGCAGCTAGCAGCTTGTATAGATCTACTAGAACTAGGTGATGCATTCTGCTGGTTGTTTATGTATCCCTTCTAATGCTTTAGGTTCAGTTAACACCAAACAAATTGATGCAAGCCAGGCTTTAGGTGTGCTAGCTATATAAATGAATGTTGTTTCCTGACTTGTGATGGTTTCCGTTGAAGTTGAAATGTTCTTTTCCCATGCTCGCAGAATTATAATCAACCTATATGCCTGGATCTGTGTTTGTGTCTTAGTGGTAAGCGACTAGTGATAATGGTGTTAGTCGTTGAACTCTCACTCTCGGTAGTAGCAGAATTCTTACTCTCATCGAGAGAGGATGACACTAGGAGTTGGGGCAATTTTCTGGTTTATTTCTCACACAAACTCACACAAATGCCATGCCAACCTGAGGGGTTGGGGATACATATTTATAGGCTGCTAGCCAGCCAAACATATGTCAAGATGCTAGTCTAAGATGCTAATATGCTGACCTAGCTAAGATGCTGTCCTAGCTCAGATGCTGTCCTCCAATCAAGGAGATGTTGTCCTCCAGTCAGTTGCTGTCCTCCAGTCAGTCAAGGAGATGGACAGCCACAAGAACCGGCAGCCACCATATGCTGCAGCCAGCCCCACAAAGACCAGCCAACACATGAGACTTATCCATCATTCTCTCCCTAAGTCTTGTGCGTCGTCTTATGGGAAAGTTGAACCATCCCGGTCCTGGAGCAGAGCTCAAGGAACTTGATCCTTCCAAGGGGCTTGGTAAGCAGGTTCGCAAGCTGGTCCTTGGTGTTGATGTAGCTCGCCTTGATGCTCCCTTCCTCCAAGCAGCCTCGGATGAAGTGGTACCTCACCCGGATGTGCTTACTCCGTTCATGGAACACGGGGTTCTTTGTCAGGGCCAAAGCGGACTTGCTGTCCACTCTGAGCTCCACCGCTCTAGTGTCTCTGCCGAGGAGATCACCAAGCAGTCGAGCGGGCCAGAGCGCCTGAGTCGAAGCGGTGGAGGCCGCTATGTACTCGGCTTCGCAGCTCGACAGGGCCACCACCTGCTGCTTGACCGACTGCCAGCTAACGAGGCATTTGCCGAGGAAGAAGAGGATCCTGCTCGTGCTCTTGCTGGTGTCAATGTTGCCGACGTGGTCGCTGTCGCTGTACCCGACGAAGTGTGCCGCCCCAGGACACCTAGGGTAGTAGAGGCCGTGGTCGAGAGTCCCCGCAACGTAGCGGATGATCCTCTTCACAGCCTGTTGGTGCTCCGTTGTCGGTCGCTGCATGAACCGACTAACGTAGTCGACGGAGAATGCCAGGTCCGGCCGTGTGTGGGCGAGGTAGCGAAGGCTCCCCACAAGATGCCGGTACTGCGTAGCGTCCACCTCCTCCGCCGTGCTGTCGCGGCTCAGCTTTAGAGCTGGGTTGCAGTCGGTGAGCCCAGCTAGCTCAACGACGTGCTTGGCGTAGATGGTCTGTCGAAGCATGATTCCGGTGTCATCCTGGTGCACCTCGATTCCCAGGTAGAAGGAGAGAGGCCCCAGGTCACTCATCTGGAAGGTGGCCTTCATCTCTTCCTTGAATGCTGCCACCTCCGCATCCTTGGTGCCGATGATCACCAAGTCATCGACGTAGACACCCACCAGCAGGGCATTTCCTCCACTGCCCCATTGGTAGATGGCTGCATCATGCGGCTTTGCTCGAAGCCCATCCCCTTTAGCGTGGAATCCAGCTTGGCATTCCACACCCTCGGTGCCTGTCGCAAGCCATAGAGGGCCTTGCGCAGGCGGAGCACCTTGCCCTCCTTGCCGGGGATCGCAAATCCCGACAGCTAGTGCACGTAGACCTCTTCCTTCAAGTCGCCGTTAAGGAACGCCGACTTGACGTCCATGTGATGGACACGCCAGCCCTCCTGGGCAGCTAGCGCAAGGAGGAGTCGCACGGACTCTATGCGTGCCACGGGAGCGAAGGCGTCGTCGAAGTTGACCCCCTCCTGCTGCACGAAACCTCGTGCCACCAGGCGAGCCTTATGCTTGACGATGGCACTAGCTTCATCCCCCTTCAGCTTGTACACCCACTTAAGGGTGATCGCGCGGTGACCATGAGGAAGGTCAACAAGCTCCCAGGTGCGGTTGTTCTCAATCGCATCCATCTCCAATTGCATCGCGGCGTGTCATGCCGCGTGTCTCTCGGCCTCTACAAACGACCGAGGCTCGCCGTCGTCACACGCAAGGTGCAACTGCGTGTCCAGGTCGTGAGGCACCGGTCCCGACACCGACTGGTCGCTGAGAAGGTTCTCCATCGTACGGTACCGCAACGGCTCGCCGTCGTGGTACGCGTCGATGCGCTCCTCGTCATGAGAGAGCGGAGTAGCGAGCTCAACCGGGCTGTGCTCGACACGAGCTGGTGGTGGAGTAGGCGTGCCCGGAGTGGTGCCTGTTGATGCTGGAGTGCGTGGCGTTACCGGCTGTGTTGGAGCCGGCGAAGAACTCATCGCAACCGAGGTCCTGGTTGGAGAGCGTGGTGCTGTCGGAGTAGCCGACGCCGGGGTCGGTGGAGGCTCGGGGACTGGGGTAGACGCGCTCGTCGAAGAAGAGCTGCCTACTCCCCTAGCTCCCTCGAGGTGGACGTACTCGACACTGAAGTCGTCGTACGTCGGAGCTGAGCCGTCGTCCACCGCCTTGTCCCACGCCCATCCTCGCCCTTCGTCGAACACAACGTCGCGCGCCGTGCGCACACGTTGTGTCTTCGGGTCGAGGATGTGGTAGGCCTTCGAGCCCTCCGCATAGCCGATGAACACTCCCGGAGTGCTCCTGTCATCGAGCTTGCTGATGTGGCCAAGCTCCTTGGCGAACGCGAGGCAGCCGAAGACCCGCAAGTGGGAGACCGTCGGCTTGCGCCCATGCCAAGCCTCCTACGGCGTCCTGCCGTCGAGCGCCTTGGTAGGTGAGCGGTTAAGGATGTAGACGGCCGTCACCACCGCCTCTCCCCAGAAGACAGCCGGCATCCCCCTCTGCTTGAGGAGGGCCCGAGCCATCTCCACAACCGTCTGGTTGCGCCGCTCGACGATGCCGTTCTGCTGCGGGTTGTACGGCGTGGAGTAGTGGCGCTGAATGCCCTCGTCAGCGCAGTACGACGCGAATTCAGCCGCCGTGAATTCGCCGCCGTTGTCGGTGCGCAGCACGCGCAGCTTGCGGCCGCACTCTGCCTCCGCAGCAGCCTGCGCGCGCCTGATGGCGTCCGCAACCTCTCCCTTGATGCCGAGGACCATCACCCACATTGTGGCAGAACCGCCTAATCTAATGCCTCACATGAGTGCTTGTCTTCCATTAGACACTAAGCATTCGAGAGATAACACTAAATTACTCGGTTCCGTCGGGCACACCCCAGGGGAGAACCTGAAAATCCACATTTTTGCCATCAGGATCACAAATGAGAGAATAAAGCTTACATCATTCTTAACCATTTCTTACATCACTTTTAATACATCAGAGTATAACATTTATTATTATAACAACGAAATGTAATCATATTATCAGAGTTATGAACAATTTAAGGTAACAGCGGAATATAAACATGTGATCAGAATTACAGCGGAAATAATTATCTATTCATGACATGATGAAGCATGGATAAATAAGCTATGACAACATATTATAGAACTTCTGTTTATAAAAACATTTGGTGAGAGTTATAAATAAAAACTACGATCGCAGCGTAAAGGAAATCCTCTCTGAGCCCACCAGGAGGAATCCACACACAAGAGTCAGCTCGAGCATCCACCTGTCACCTGCAACAGGGGGAATAAAACCCTGAGTACTCAATTGTACTCCGCAAGACTTACCCGATAGGAGAAAAGAAAAGACTCCAAGGATATGCAAGGCTATCTGACTTGTGGGTTTATTGCATCTGCAGGAAGCATTACTAAATGTGCGTCCTTATATTTGATTTTTATTAGCAGTGCATTGGTTTATTAACTAACCATTCTATGTAAGCACCTGTACTACTTTCAAGCAGGTGGTAAGCAATCAGATTTCCTTTTCTTTTCATCTTTCATCTTTCTGTTCTTACTACGATGCTAGACACGAAACAAGCCGTATTGGATCGCCCGGCGATTTGCGAATCGATGCCCCCAGCTGGGTTCCCCAAAAACACACGCCCCGTTTGTACTGGGGCACAAGCAGGACCAACCCACCACTCTCCTGTCCCGGGTGTCCAGGTCCCCGTCCAAACTGGGACTCCAAGCCTCCGCCCCTGAGTCCCGGACTCAGTGCGGTGCAAGGACCTCCTCCACCAAAATAAAACCCTAACAGTCGGTCTGGAAAAGAGCCGGATTCGCGACAAGAGAGCGACAAGTCTTCCAAACGCCCATACACAAGTATATGCTCGGAATAATAAGTCTGTGACTTGCCTAGATGCCTTATGCAACGATCGGTCCTTAACCGACCAAACAGGGAAAACAGTGTAACCAAGCCATGTCCCGTGTCCACGACGACACAACCTCTTACACCCACCAATACCCAAACCATATCCCTGTCCGGTCACCATTTTCCTTTCCATCATTTATATTTTCCAAGTAATAATAATACAGTAATATATATCCTATCTCTCGTGAGTGACAGGCAATCACTCGACTTCTATCGAAGACCTGTAGCATAGCAATCTACACGATCCTATCATACTAGTAAGACTCATAGGATAAAGATATATTTATGCAAGTGGGTTTCATTCAACTTCTTAAAACTTAATGCACAAATATAATTTAAACTGCAGAAAGTAGGGGTTATGCACCGAGGCTTGCCTGGGTAAGATATATTAAAAAGTTAGTAGCTGCATCTTCAGATCATCCACCATCAGCTGGATAACAAGCCCATTGCATCATCTCCTAGAGAGAATACCAGTACATCATCTTCGGACTCCCAATCACCCTTCAATCGATCCGTTAATC